TTCTTCCTTTCCTTCCCATTTTTTTGTTAATATTATGAAAAACCCAAAATTGGTACACACGTGACAAATTTATCCAAAACTAAATTTTTGACCATAAAAAACCCCAAACCGGTATACTTGTAACAAATTTACCCTCCGTTAATTTCCATTAAAATGGATTAATACCATGAAAAATCACAAACTAGTATACTGTTGACAAACAGAGGTAAAATCCTAAACTGGTATACCCGTTAACTGTTACGTGTCATCTAACTCAACAGCTTCAAGATAAAATTTAATGGAAACTAACGGAAGATAAATTTGTCATAAATATACCAGTTTGAGGTTTTTAGTGGCCAAAAAATTAGTTTAGAGTAAATTTATCACGGGTGTACCAATTTGGATTTTTTCGTGGTATTAACCATTTCTTTTTCATTATTTTCCTTTACCTATGACTGGCGAGGGCTGCCTTCACCTGGGCAATTATCGCCCTTGCCAGAATCAGCAAGGGTGAGGTCTACAACGCCCTCGCCAGATCTAGGTGAGGGCAACCCTCGCTTCAGGCCGGTGTCGGCCACATACCACACCAATATATCTCGAACTTGGCGGTTTTACTTTACTATGATGATGATACTGTATGGGAGGTCCCATGTAAAAATTGATGTGAAGATGATAAAAGGCTTAACACCTCTCATTTTTATTACTAGTTTTTCATATATATTGAAAAAGAAAAAAATAAAAAGATCATTTTATTCAAAACCTCAATTCTAAAATCCTGTCTCTCCCATTTTACATCTCAGAATGCAAAACATATCCTTGAGTATACTTTAAAGGGAACATGACACAAACAGTCCCTGAACTTTGACTTAATGTGCAATTTGATCCTTGAACTTTTAATTTATTCAATGCAGTCCCTAAACTTTAGCCCAATATTCATTGTGGTCCTTGAACTTTCAATTTGTTCAATATGATCCCTGAACTTTTGGTACATGTTTAATATAGTCCCTGAACTTTATAAAAATATTCAATGTAATCCTTCCATTAATTCAAGTTCATGGACTGTATTGTACATTTTCATATAGTTCAGGGACTAAATTGAACATATACCAAAATTTCAGGGACTACATTAAACAAATTAAAAGTTCAAGGACTACATTGAACATTGGACTAAAGTTCAGGGACTGCATTGAACAAATTAAAAGTTTAGGGATCAAATTATACATTAAGCCGAAGTTCAGGGACTGTTTGTGTCATTATCCCTACTTTAAAATGGCTTTCAATACAACTGAGCAACACATAAATCAAACAAATATAAATTAGAGAAAGGAAGTTCAAGCTACACAACCCCCTTAACCTATTCTCTGTGGAAACAAGTGGAAAACAATACATCAAAAGGAGTAAAAATAGGGTCATCATTTCCTAAACTTTTGTATCTCCAAAACAACGAGAATTACAAACAGAAGATCAATAATAATTCCATAACCAACATTCCATCCCTCAAACTTTTCTCCTAAATGAATTCTGCGAAAAATATTCTCGATCGCGAAAATAATCAAAATTTGCTCCACATCATGATGATACAAGTTCCAATTTTCTCGCACTTCCCTTTCCTGGTTAAGCCAAAATTGCCATCACCTACTGAATTTTATAATTAAAAAAGAAAAAGAAAAAATGTATCCATATTAATTAACTAAGAAAAATATAAAATTACATAAATGAGATTGGGAGGGGAAATAATGTAAATCTTGGCAGTCCAATGTCTATGATATAGGGTAAATCATCCTTCCAATATCATAATAATGTATCAAAGAAGCATCGCCAATGAAGTCATATCTATCTCCCATCTTTTTCCTTTATTCATATTTCAAAAGAAACTTATATCTGCATATAGTAGGTGTGTCAAAAACCAAACCGAAAACCGGAATCAAAACTGGAACCGAACCAAAATTTCATGCATTTTTGGTTTGGTTCGGATAATAAAAAAATATCCATTCTTTTCTTCCGGCTCGGGTTATTTCAGTTCGGTTTGGTTAACCAAACCGAACTCAAATTCTCAACAAAAACTAAAAGCTCTTTCTTACTCTGTCGCGACCTAAAAAAAAATCGGGTTTTCGATCTTAGGCTAATGGATTACTAAATCAATTAAATTAACTAACCTAGCTCGAGTTCTCCCAAACTCTACCAAATCGCAACTGAAGTCTAATTGTGAGCATGCAAATATTTTCAATGGGAGTCGCCACTAATCATTTAAGGTAGGTTGATTAGAAACCTAAATAAAATAGCGGGAGTACTATTTTATTTCTGCGAACCAGAAATTATAAATTCGGGGACTTGGTTACGCTAGATTCCCTAACGCCCTTTCGGTACCAATTTTAAGAGAAATACTCAATTGGACAATTTTGATAAATCCTGACTTAGAGTTCAAAGGTGCAGAAATTTTCTTTTTTGATTTTTTATTTATTTAAATGAAAGCTAACCTATATATAATGATGTGCAAAAATTGACATGTGATTAATGCAACCTAACATGCAAACTATATGTCATGCGACGACGTGATCTATTTCTAATGACGGGCATATTATTTTTTTTGTATTTTTTCTTTAATGAAATTCGGAATTAAAAATGCCAATTATCTAAACATGCAATTTTAAACTAAAGAAATTAACCTATTCTAGAGTAATCTTCAGTCGCCACTAATCATTTAAGTAAAAAATATAACCGCTAAATCTTTCGAATTAAGTTTCGATCTGAAGCCTGACAGATCGATCTTAAAATTCGAAATACCCGCTATGGAAATAACTCTATCTAAAGCCTGATAGATAGATTTATTTCCACGTGTGCGGTTGCGGATTAGGAAATTTTCCTAATCGATCACATCTTAAAAAAAATTAGATATCTTAAATATCTTGGATATATTCAAAAGATTTTGAAAATTCTAAATTCTATCCAAATTTGAAAAGTAATAGATATCCAAGATTTCAAAAAAGGAAATAAAATCCTAATTGAAATAATGCTTATTATCCAAATATGCAAAATTAGATATCAATAAGCACAAATTAGGCAACCAAATATTCGAATCAAATCGGGATATGATAATTACCTGATTTACAGATTTCTTTCCTAATTTGAATCTGTAGCGGATCGGGATTGCGGATCGGCGGTGCGTCGGGAGCGGCGGCGTGACGTCGGGAACAGTGGCGGCTAGCGACGGGAACGGCGGCGCGGCGGGCGTCTCCGGGCAACGGCCAACAGGCGGGGACGGGCGACTCTCCGGCGGCTGTGCAGCAAACATCGGCAGCACAGGCGGTGGGCTAACGGCGGTGCAGGCGGCTCCGGCTGGCGAGCGGTGGTGCAGGGCAGCTCTGGCTGGTGAGCGGCGGTGCAGGGCAGCTCTCCGGCGGCTGTGCAGCGAGCAGCGGCGACACAAGGGCGGGCGAGCAGGATGTCCAGCGGCGGTGGTGTGCGACGAGGCAGCCGGCGCAAGGCGTGCGTGCAATGCGGTGGCACACGGCGGAGACGGCACAAGCGCGGCAGAGGGAGCGCGCGCGGTGGCACGCGGGGGGCAAGCACGCGCAAGTGGGAGAGGACGGAGGCTTCGCAGGCGGGCGGTGGCGCGGCAGGCGTGCAGTGGCTGAGGGGCGGAGCAGCTCCGGCGTAGTGCGGCAGGCGGTGGCGCGGCAGGCGTGCAGTGCGGCGCGGCGGGCGGTCTCCTTCTCTCTCTCTCTCACTCTTCTCAAAATTCTCTCGTATGTCTCTCTAAAAATTCGATCTGAAAAATTATGAGAGCCCCCCTCCCCCCTTGATTATGAGACATAAACATATATTTATAATGTAAACCTAGGTCAATTAGCCGGGCTTTCTAGTCCTAATGGGCTTAGGTTTAGGCTTTAATTTAATTCTAAGTGGGCCGAATTAATTTGGGCTTTTCTTTAATTAAGCATAATGGGCTAATTTAAGCTCAAATTAAGACAACCAAGCCCTTTTGTGTGTGATTTTCGGCCCATGCTTTCCGAGTGAACCGAATCTCGTTCGGTGCCCGAGCTCGATTTACGTGATGAATTTTAAGCTCGCTTACCACCGCCGATCCTATGCGAAATGCAGTTAATCTATATGAACCTAAACTTTATGCTATGCGATTTGTAATATTTTTGTTCAGGGATTAAAATTTAATCCCTAATTTTCTATGCAATTAATCACTAAATGATGCGCCGAAATTTAGGTGTCAACATACTCCTCTCGAAATCGCCATGAGAAATCCTAATATTCGGTTTTCTCATCCGAATAGATCTAATCCTTGGTTCATATTCGATTTGGCTCGAGATTCGGTTCAGTTTAAGCGTACACCCTAACGGTTCGATTCGTTTCGAATTTTCAAAAAATCTGAATTGAACTGAACCGTTGACATCCCTAACATTTAGTAATCTAATACTATATGTATATGCCTTGAGCTTGATTATGGAACGGGCGAGGAGAAAATGAGCCTAGTTATGCTAGACTTTGCCATTATCGGGCCAAGAACGGGCTTGTGCCGGGCCATGTCAGATGACCCGAATTGGGCCGATTTTTTTTTTAACCTTTTTCTTCCCAGAACTTTGGTCAAGCCAAAAATGGGCTCATTAGTACACGCTATGCCCTGTCATGCCCAGTACTTTTTTGCTGAAAAAATCATGTATGCATCTGAAGCAAGTGAGTTCATTTTTATCTCTGCCATTAAATGTTGTCACTCCACGTAAAACCCACATAATCTGATAATTGAGATGGAGTGAATTTTCATACAAAATTTAGCTTAGTTTTTCAATATATTTCAATTCGATGCGTACCTCGCATCTAACAACTTAGAATTATTCTCACAAGTATCTATCAGTGAAAATTGACGAAAAACACACATAATTCTTGTAAGAGTCCTCCACTATAGACCTTTTGAAAAGTTCTCGATCGACCGCCATGAAAGCAATCAAGTTTGGTCACAAATCCAATCAACACATAAAAGTTTCAAGTCATAAACCACATAGAACCCGGAATAGTTTAATTAAGGTCTGCAACTTTATCCAAATTATTAGGAAACACATCAACGATAATCCGGAGCATAAAAAGTTCTAAAAATTCATGAAATGAAAACGAGACGGCAACATGACCGCCAAATCAAACGTGCACCAAACTTTTGCGCTCAATCAGTTGGTGCCAAATCAGCAGGTTTGCCCGAGCCCTTAGCAAGGCCGTTGTTCCTTGATGAGTCATCCGGCGAATGATTGTCGTCAGCCATGCACTGAGGCAACACGTCATCGCCTCGTGCAGCACTCGATGATGCCCCAGCAAACCCCGAAAGCATCTCAGCTGAATGCTCGCGACCCTGCTCATTTTGAGTAATACATAAATAAGTATATACATACATATTATTTCAAATACAAGGTTAGAGGCTTATATGAGGATGAGAGGGTGTGGAAAATATGGATTATATGTAGACCTGACGATTGGGAAGCAAATCAACAGAATTTCCTGGATTGAATGGGAAGGGCGAGCTTGCAATGGTTGCATTTGAGGCCATCATCCTCAGCCATCGGATTCCCATCATAATTTCCTCGTTCCTAGCTGTCACAGAAAGCATAGATCATCAGTTCTAGAGATATATGTCATATATTTCTACGATTTTACCATGTTTATGTCATTGCTACATGCAAAACGAAAACAGTTTTTCTCAATGATGGCGACAACGACGACCACCGCCACCATCAAGCTTTTTATACCGAGAAATTGTTGAAGAGGGCTTCAACAATATAGAATGCAGAATCAAACTTTAAAGTGAGTTCTAAATAATCTAGAAAAGAAAGCCTTACCATAGTGCGAGTACGCGCGATTTCCCATAGTCTTGTGAAGTTCCTCCAAATCGGTGTTTTCATCAGTCAGATCAATGGTTTCCTTCTGCTTAATTATCGACAAACAACTTGTAACGCCCATCAGTTCATCCCAAATATAGAGACTTCAAATAAAACCATGTACAGAAACTAAAGGTTCGGATCAAATTCCTTAAACTCGGAGAAAGTAGTATTACCTCAAAAGTTGCAAACTCAGCTGCTCGTGCTCTCACTGAAGCTCGCGTAGATTTTGCCTTTTCCTCCAACAGAAATTCCTCCACCCTTTTCATGTTTTCAGATTTGGTGCCAGATGCACGCTTCAACATAATTCTAGGAGCAAAAATTCAATGAAAATATTTTTTTATCATAAACTGGAAAAAGAAAAGGAAGCATATTGTAAAACATTACCTAGTTGAATACGAAATCCTTAGGGGAATTATTAAACAAGTTCGCTTGTGTGGAGTTTAGTTTCATGAAAATCCAAGATATGTTGAGGGAGCTGTAAAAATGCCAATAAGCCAGTAGATTTTGATTATTTTGACTTATATATGTTTGGAGTGGATTTTTACCTCAACTATGATAAGCACTTAACATTTTTTTCAGCCCATACAAAATGAAATGCAGAAGTACATATTACCACCCAGATATTACTCTAAGAATTTGAAAATTGATTAGCTTCTATTCCCAAAAGCATAGAATTGCAAGATTTAAGATCTTTGTGAGCTTGATAGCAAGATGGCGGAAGACAGAACAAAAATAAGCATGGACTCCATGATTTTATTTACAAAATGCGTATATTATAATCAAAATCTAAACTTGTCATATAATTCAATTAGGTTTTCCGATTGTTCCTTTCACTCAAAAAACTTAAAATGTCTTTCAATTGAAAACAAGATACTTTCAGGTAAAATTATAATTTCTGTCTCCCACCTTTCTTCTACTCCAGCAAATTGTTTTATATGACTTCTTATTCAAGCGTAAAAAAAAATTTTGCACAAATTTTTTTGACTTCTAACGGTGCTTATAAGTAAGTGAAGGAGCCTATACGTGTACTAATCATGTAATAGAGAAATTTGGGTGTTGCAAGTAAGTCCTTATTTTTTTGGGTATCTGTTGGTAAGATAGTAAATGAAATTATGGAATTAAATTGAAGTATTAGTATGTACCTCTTTGAACGCCTCGGATTTGGGATGGCTGATTCTTTGGGAGCAAATATCGATTGCTTTTTCCGTGTCTTCTTTAAATCAGTAGATAACTCCATTGTGCTTGGAGTCGGCAACGTGCGCGGGATAGGCACGACAATTGAATTGTCCATTTCTTGCCTGAGAATTATTAACATCTCATCATCCGTGTATTGTTCGAGTTTTGAGAAGTCAACAGGGCTTTGGCTCATGAATTTGGAGAAAATTCGTCTCCTTCTAAAATATTGAGTTCATCAAAAGATATATTTTGCATAGAATTTTTTTAACTTCTAACGGTTCTTATATGTAAGTGAAGGAGCCTATACGTGTACTAATCATATAATACAGAAAACTGGGTGCTGCAAGTAATTCCTTGTTTTTTCGGTTATTGTCCTGTTGGTAAGAAATTAAAAGAAATTATGGAATTAAATTGAACTATTAGCACGAACCTCTTTGAACGCCTTGGATTTAGGATGGCTGATTCTTCGAGAGCAGATATCAATTGTTTTTTTTCTGGATTCTTTAAATCAGTAGATAACTCCATTGTGCTCGACATCGGCGACGTGTGCAAGACAGGCACGACAATTGAATCGTCCATTTCTTGCTTGAGAATTGTTGACATCTCATCATCCGTGTATTGTTCGAGTTGAGAGATGTCAACAGGGCTTTGGCTCATGAACTCAGAGAAAATTTCGTCCCGTTCTAAATCATTGAGTTCATCAAAAGATAGATTGTCTTCTTCCTCAACATGATTTTTGTTTCTGTCCATCTCCAACAAACCTTTCGCACATACATAGCACAAAAGCAACAGATGATTTTCTTAGATCCAAACCCTAAAGCAGCTATTTGAATAAATGAAAAGTCAAAAGTTATCACCTGATGATAAGCTCCGACAAGTGAAGTTTTCAAAACAAGGTGCAAAGTCAGAGAGGTCAAGTGTTATGTATTTGGGTGTGAGAGAGAAGGGAACCCTAAAAAATGAAAGTCAAGAAAATGCTGGAATAAGAGAATGAAATCATTGCTTGAGTTTATAAACAAGACTAATTTAAATAAGCAGATTTGGTTTTACATTTAATTTGTTATTAATTTTGTCGAATATGACAGGTTGGTCCTATCCTAAAAACAGATGTGCATGAATTTTTCTTCTAATGATATATAATGTTCTTTGTCATTAGCCATTCTCAACACACATTTTCTTTGTCAATTATACATGTGTTGGGTAAGAAAAAGAGTAAAAGGGCTCCTCTTTTTGTTCATAATTGAAAATTTAGTTCTTGAGAATGTAGGAAGTGAAAAGCTTGAATTTGAGAAAGGGTAATTTCTCATTGTATACTTAGAGGCTGGTGAGAATCATCGTCCTTTATTTGTTAATCACCAAATGAATGTATCGGGCAGTGACGCAGGAAAATCGTTATTTTTCAAGTTTCTATTTTTTGCGCGGAGGTTTATTTCCGTACTTCGGTCTTGCTTTAACGGTACGTCTTGCGCACATTGACAATTGTGGAAATCAATAATTACGCTAACTGACATTTAAATAAAACAATTACCATGATTAAAATGCGCAAATCTTATATTATTCTTTTCTCTTCGGCACGTTTTTACGGCATGCAACAATCTAGGAGAGGCATATCAACCTCAAAAGGAGGGCGAAGAAAAAATATTTCTTCAACCAGAAAAAGGAAAAACAAGATATTCTCAAGGATATCTTATTGGGTAATTTGCTAGTTTGGTATCTATATAGACAATTTCCCACCTATTTGCTCTTTAGGTAATAAATCTAAGGTAATGTATAGACATTCGGCATGTCCGTTGTGTAAATCTCATTATTGAGCCAATATAGAAATATCCCGTTAGGTACTTAAATTTCTGAGCTTGCAACATGAAACAAAACTTACCAACATACCTTTTTCGCCTGGATAAGGTAATCTAGCATTTTCAGTAGCTCATTTATTTTCTTGATTTTCACAATCCAGATAGTACTCAAAAAAGGATATCCTCATTGGATAGTCTAGTTTATAGCAATTCAGTGCCAACCATCTTTCATTTGAATTGTGAGGTAATTTGGGTATGTTCATTTCGGGCAAAACTTCGTGATAAAAGAAAATGCTTTTTTATGGAAATCATTTTCAAACGAAGATGTTTTCCCTTATTTAGATTAAGGACTTCATTTACCTTATTATAAGCATGTATATTTTCTTTATGACTAATCATTTTTAGCAAACAAACGCGCGATAGTCTGAAAACTAATTCAAAATTCTTTCACTCAAACAAATATAACTGTTTGGTTATGATTACAAAAATCGTTTTTCTGTTTGTAAAAGAAAAAGAAAATAGTTGCTACATAGATCCTGTTTGCATGGTTATCGATAGTATCAACTATTTGAAAACAAAACTAACTAATCTATTATCTCGAAAGCAAAAAACGATTAGGGTCATGCTTTTTTCACTCCTACTATGGCTAAAACACTCTCTCTTATTATGTTTTGACAATATTAACTTTTGTAAGTCCTATTTTTTTAAGCATTTTTCATTGCTTTTCTTCGTTCTCTTTTCTCGCAGGGCCACTTTCCTTCTTATCATTTATTTTTCCTTGTTCTCTTTGTTTCTAAAACATCCCCTCTCATGTCAATAATATGTGTTGAAGCCCAGATTTGCAGAAACCTCCTCTTCACCAACTAGTCCTCTTCCATCTCTATTTCTTCAACTCAAAACTCAACTGTAAGTAAAAAAACCATTCTCATACCTCTTCACTCCCATTCCATCCCTTTCGCTTTGTGTTATTTGTTTTCTCATTTCGCATCAAACTCTTCGATTGATCGATCATGAAGACAAGAAAAAAACCCCATTAAAAATTCAGATCTAGGAGCTAAAGCCCTCGCCCAAAAACTCATCAAGCTCATCAGCAATGTCGACTTCTTCGTCTTTGTCTTCTTGGTCCTAATTGTCACCGTCATTGCCGATTCGCCATTACCTACTAGCCTCCATATACATGGCTCGAGTCTTCCCCCCTCTCACTAAGTTGTTTATGCAAACCGAAAATGTGATCGGCGAGGATTTGCCCCTCCTCACCCTTGCGGTCTCTCCTACTTCCACGTCGATCTCAATGATCGAGCTGTTGCCACTAGTGATTAAGGGGACTAAAGAGGTGATTGTGAACTCAACTCTCAAGTCCAAGCCCTAATGCGAGTTGCTTGTCAATTATTCGAATCCCCGTGTTTTGATAGGCGTTAAGTTCAATGCGAGAGCCTTTAGATTTATTGTGTTCATGGGTATCAAACTTCTGTTAACGATAGAAAAACCGATGAGTGCCACATGGCCTAAACGACAAGTGACAAAGACAAACTACAAAAAAGAGTGTTCTTTTCTTTTCTTTTCTTTTTTTTGATAGATACCACCAAGGCTTAAACCATGACTAAAATTAAGAGGGAAAGGAGAGAAGTAATGAAGAAGGAAAAAAATGGGACCCACGAGAAAAAATATAGAAGAAAATAAATGGGACACCACAACCAAACAAAAAAGGATGCTTAAAATAGATAAAACCTACAAATGTTAATATTGTCAAAATACTGTGATAGGGAGTGTTTTAGTTATAATAGGAGTGGAAAAAAACCCACCCAAACAATTATTCTCCATTATGGAAAAGTGATTCTAGTTATCTCTATCTATAATTTTGGATTAATAGCGGAAAACAATATGCATTCCTGGAAGAATTGTTAAAAAGCCAATGAAGCAAACAGAAGAAAAAGGCCATATAGATACGGTTATTATGAAATGCTTACTAGGAAAGGTAATTAAATATAGGGAAAATACCACCAAAAACTCTAAACTATGTCACTTGTGACAAAATTAACCTTGAACTTTTTTTTTTGTGACACGAAAAACTCCAAAATATGCCACTTGTAACAAATTTACCTTGAACTTTTTTGTATGATACAAAAAACCCCAAACTATGTTACATGTGACACATTTACACCACAATACTTTGGCCCATGGACATTTTCGTCTTTTTCCTTTTTCTTTTTTTTTTCTTTTTTTCTCTCTTCCCTCCGCCGGCCATGGCGGAGGGAAGACGGCGAGGGCTGCCTTCACCAAATTTCCAAACGATACATAGAAGGCTGGTGACAATCATCGTCCTTTTCCTTTTCACCAAATGAAAGTTTTGGGCGGCCGTGCGGGAAAAACATTATTTCACACATTTATATTTTTACACGAAGTGTTTATTTATGCACTTTAGTCTAGCTCTAACGGTAGATCTAGCCCACATCAACATTTGCAGAAATCAATCATTACGCTAAGGGGCATTTAAATAAAACTATTACAATGAAAAAATAATGTGCAAATCCTATATTACTATTTTCTCGGAAAAATTACCAAAATAGCCTGAATCTATTGTAATTGTGCCAATTCAGTCCCAAACTTTTTTTTTTTGCCAATTCAATCCTAAATCTTTCAGTCCATCCGGCCACTTTTGACCAGCCGGCACTGACGTGAACGCCGGCCAACACCAACCGTCCGGCCAACGCTGACATTACAAATTTTTTTTTTTTTTATTTTAATTTTTTTCCTTCCCTTCTTCCCCTAGCCGATTTCCGTCGGCAAGGTCAAAACCTCACCGGCCACTAGTGAGGCTTGCCCTCACCAGCACTGGCAAGGGCAACGACCTTGCCGTCGCCGGGCGAGGTCGAGCCTCACCATGGCCGACCTCACCCGCGACGGTGAGGGCAAGCCTCACTAGTGGCCAGGGAGGTCGACCTTGCTGGCCCTAGCCTTTGGCCTATCCGGTGATCGGCCAGGGGAAGAAGGAAAGAAAAAAAAAAGGAAAGAGAAAGGAAAATAATTAAAAAAAATTGTCACGTCAGCGTCAACCGGACAGTCGGCCAAAAGTGGCCGGATGAACTGAATTGGCACAAATGTAAAAAGTTTATGACTGAATTGGCACAATTACAATAGATTTATAACTATTTTGGTAATTTTCCCTTGTTTTCTCTATGCCATGTGCTTACCGTGTGCGAGGATCTAGTTGCATATTAATCTAAAATGGACAAAAAAACATATTCCTTCAACCAGAAAAAGGAAACAAGATCTTTTTAAGGATATTCAATTGGGTAATATACAGACAATTTCCC